AATCATTCGGGACTTATAGGAATATAGGTCACGAATTAAAGGCGGTTAAAATTACAATAATAAATGTAAATGTTCTGCGCATGAACAAGGAAGCATAATTAATCATACAAAGGTGCAGTTTGTAGACAAAAAGACATCAAATCGAAACCATTTGTCAACACTTGTCTGGAGACAGGAAATTCTTGTTTGAATTAAGCTGTATTAGTGGGTTTTATGCTAAATTCATCATGTTTGTACAGTACATGTCATACTAACATTGTCATTGTAATTTTGATATGCAAATATGTTTGAAAATAAGCAGATGTTTATTTCGTGCAGGAGTTAAGTGTATCATTCTGCATAACTTCGATTCTGATTAATACTAAACTATGATGGCCTTGTGAATTATATAGGGAAATGATGCACAAAACGTGGAAATCTGGTCTAATTATTTTTGTATCTATTTTATATCTTGGTAAGTTTTATTTTGTCTTATAATTTAACTGTATGGTGAATTACAAAATGTTAGCATGTGATGTGTGATTATTGGTACAAAGATAACTGATTAGATTATATACTATAGATGTTACTATCGCAAGAAAATTGCTTCCTCACCCCCAAGGGATCAAAGGCAAGGGAACATGCGCAATTTACTGAATAAGGGGCTGTTTATATGATCCCGCTTTGCCAGGACGACTATGAGGCGGGATGATTTCGATATATTGAAATAAGTCACGATGCATGATTCAGCCAAAAACGTCATTTTCTAGAGATGGATTATAGTTAACTGTAAACGAAAGGTTGTTCAAAAGACTATAAAAATTTTCTTAAACTACATGATCTTCTCTACAACATTTGAGTTCGGTTAACCAGCTTTTGAACTTTCGTTTAGCCTAGTGACTTTATTTCAATACATCAAAATTATCCACCATCCATCATGGAAACAGTTCAGAGTATGCCCGTTCGCAGATCAGGTGCTGGGCATGACCTAACTTGCGAACGGGCATAGTCTGGGTACGAGATTGCTATACGCCTGTTCAGGATGCAGGAAAAGACCGAAGGGGCTGCAACCCCCCCCCCCCCCAATAATTTTGTAATAATCATTCTTTTTTCAAAATCATGCAGACTTTTATCAATTTTAAGCTTTATTAGTTTTAAGCGGCTACATTATCCATGACAAACTTCAAAGAATGAAGATATTACCCCCACTTTCCTGCAACTTATCCAATATTTAGTTAATTAAATACACCTTCGCCCATTTAGTACCACGAAATTGTAAATTTCGACATACCAAAACGCTGTTTTTGACTATCAGAATTCTGTCAAATCTTCCCCAAAGTCCAGGAAATGGCATTTCAGAGACTCTAAATTTCAAATTTTCCTCGGGCCTTCGGCCCTCCCTTTCAGCCCCCGCCCCCATTAAAAAAAGCTTCGTACGGCCCTGTTATTAGCATAGCATGACCAGTTGCCATGGCTAGCTTTCCACTGAATACTGTACAATATCATGCATATCAACAATGATAACTCTTGAATGAATCATTAGAGTTTAGTTTAATAACAATTTCATATACCTTATTTGTATTAAAATTCGAATTCGCGCAGTACTAGAATTCGCGCAGCGCTGGGTGCTCGAATTTTAGTAGCCTTCTGTGCGAAATATAATCCGCGCCGCGCGAAAAGCTTTGAGACACCCGTTGTTAGTAATGCAAATCAGTTGATTTATTAACGTATATATACACATTTGACATATTGTATGTTTTAAGTTGTCCTGACAACATTAAAAATAAAAAATGTCTTCCTCCTGGACAATTTCAGTCCGGATATTCTCAGGTTCCAACTAGCATTCCCCCACGAAGGCCTGCATTTTGCCATAGATCCTCTGATCCTCAAACATTGACTTTGTCGCCAAAGGTTGGCAACGATCATTATAAATGCGTTAATTGTTAATAATTCTATTGATTTAATAAACAAACCAAAAAGAACGAACACGGAAAATTTCTTGACCGAATTTAAAGCTGCGCGAATATAAAGTCTAGAGGTCCAGACACACCGGATGCGATTCGCCACAACGCGACGCAATTTTTCGATTTTCACTGACCGATAACTTTGCTCCTTGTAAGTTTCAATTTTCCAAATATTTAGAAGCGCTATAACATTTGGAGTTATTTGGTCTACATATCATTCAAAATTTGCTCTCAAAACTGCGTCGCGTTGTCGAATTGCGTCTGGTGTGTCTGGACCTTGAACAAGGTGCGCGAAACTAAATCGCGCGCGTTTAAAGCTGAGCGATTGTTTTAATGGCACTTTCAAGGCTACCCGAGGAGACAAAATCTATTTGTTGACATTTTTGTCAGCTTCAGATTCTAAAAAGAAATTGTGCGCAGGTGAAAATATGAATGTAGGCCGGATAGTTATTACGATATAATGCTAACCAATGGACATATCTCAGAGATATATTTTTACAAAAAGTACATTTTGACTCCTTGTATAAGTATAAAGACGATCAGTGGGCTATTAGAACTGCAAAGTCATGAAATCATATTGGTTTCAATACCTCTATATCAAACACTAAACAGCAAATCTAAATATAAATGCCTTCATGTATATCACCAGAAAGAAATAAAGCTATCCTTACTTGAATTATTCAAGATATTGTCGATCCTTTGCATCGTCAAAATCCAACATACTGCATGTAAATAATATCCAACATACTGCATGCATGTGCTAATATAAATTGAAATCCTGAGAAGAATCATGCGAGCGCAATACAAAATAAATAAAATCGAATCAAAATCGAATAAAAACAAAGAGTCGTCGAATGCTCGACTGACGACAATTTCCGAAAAATCTTTACATCCGACCGAATGACATGGATTCAGTATTGTTTCCCCAATATAACTCGACGGGGACTGGGCACGAAAAAGCAAGAACGTCATGTAACGTCAAGAATATGGAGCTGCCTCGCGTAACAATACTTGCTGTGTTTGATAGAATGAACAACTAAAAGCATTCCTTGTATAGGCACATTTATTATCAGTCAACCACGAACGTATACTTATTCTTATATATAACTTGCTCGAAGACTCGCAACATGCCACATATATGTATAGGTTAAAAGTTTCCTGACGATATAAAAATATAGGCAGCCAAATAGCAATTAAATATTTCACTAGAATATTCGAACTTTTAATAAAACTGTTTAGTTAATATGATGAACTTGTTTAGAGAAAGAAATGCAGTTCAGTTCAGTTGTATGCTACGTGCGACGTCACTGCACTTCGCTGTATGTATGCAGTGGCGTATGGTAGTCATTTTCCGATGTTATTGGAATATTTTTGCATGGTGGAATATCCAAACTGTGTCGCTGGAGAGTGTCGCTGTGTCGATTGAGAGTTAAAACGCAGAGAACTATATACTATAAAATGGCAAACTTTGAAACGGGCCAAACCTTGCAGCTCTGCTTCCAATAGATGTAATCTCTGTCTGTGGGAGAAATACTTTATTATATGTAAACCTAGCCCGCGTACAGGCCCAAGGGAAGAATAGTGGGCCTTCAAGCAAGGCCCGGTATTTTGTAAAACGCCCCTTTTCATAACACGCCCCATTCGCACGTCAATTGTCAAAAAAGAACCAATGACAGCAACCCAAATAGTAACAAACCAACTCGCATTAAAATGTTGCGGGGTTTTCTCTGCTATATTCAAAATAGAAACAGTGTGTAAATGGCTGTGTTTTAACTCCAGAAAAACAAGCAACGCAGTCAGTAATTGCCAAATTTATCACAACAGGCAAATTAGGACGAATTTCAACAGAAAACCAGTCTCAATCTTCAAATCGTGAGGGAATTCGTGCGACCACATTAGAATTAATGTATGCTTCGCTGTCTCCATTGTTATAAATAAATTGTCTCACTTATCAGATGGTGTGTGCAATTCTTGTTGGCGGCGGAAAGTACGAAATTTATTTCAGTTATTTTATTTGGTAAAGAACTCTACAAAAGAAGAGAGCGTTCAGAGTCCAGATCGTTTCGTTTCAAAAGGCAATTACGGTCTTCTGTTTCGCTCTCTCAGCGAAACCTTGCAACGCAAAGTGTTTCGAATAGGCTTACATGCAACTGCCTCTAAATCCTCACCGCGGGAAGCGCTGTTTCCTTCAGTGCAAGAACAGGGCCAACATCAACCAAAAAATAATTTTCTTCAGGAACATATAACGTATCAAGTCTGTTTGAAATTAATGAAACTCAAGTAAATTAAGGTTACTATATAGTTTACCCCAGTCGTAATGTTGCTATTTCAGCACTTCACGACAAGCAATCCCCTTTGGCATAACGGCAAAAACATCTCTTCCTTCAAGTAAACAATAAACAATACGTTATTGTTCCATTTTTTATCGAAAAAAGTGATCAATTTTCGAATTTTAAGCTTATCGAGAGCCTTTGTGATGAATCACTGACCTAATTATAGAATCCAACAGCAAAGAGCCAATCAGAATGCTGCGTTCGTGGGCGAACGCGGAAAGTACAAAATACCGGGCCTTGCTTGCAGGCCCACTATTCTTCCCTTGGGCCTGCACGCGGGCTAATGTAAACCCGAATTAGCATTTCTCACGGCCGATATTTCCGTAAAATACACCATATTTGGGCCGAGAGTGGTGCAAATTCCAGTGCATAATACAAATTAATATATGCATGGGCGCACGGTGCTAATCTTGTTTGGGACTTGAGGGGGGGGGGGGGGGGGCACAGATCAGTTTGCCCGACCGTCGATAATTCACCTTTTCAGCAATAGCGACGCCATCTTGAAATTCCAATTCGGCGCAATACATGCTGGGCTATCCAGGGTGGTTTTTGAGTTTTTGTTTCTGGGGGAAAATTATTCTTTTCTGCGATTGTCGAAATATTTCAACACTATTAAAACGTTTAATAAAGCTAACAAAAGCCTAAAATAACGATTCCGTTAAATGAGAAAGATGTACAAGGTAGGACAGTTGATTCTTTGAGAAATTATCTCACAACTCGTGGTATGAAGGTGGCTGGAGAGGATAGAAAGGCGGATTTAATTCGAAAAGTTCTCGCTGCTTCTCTGTTGAATGTTCCTGAAGCACCGTCTGCAGACGAGAAATGTGAAGAAATATCACAACGAAGAACGAGTAAATTGACTGTTGGCTGCATAAATCTTCCGTTTCCAGAAGAACTGGAGTCGAGTTCGTGGATGAAAGAAGTCGTATACCTCCCTGAGATAACCATAAGCAACCTGAAAGATTATGCACAGAAAAGTCAATCTCAGAAAGGTTTTATTGAAGGAATGAACTTGCATAATGCAAAACACGTTAGTCATGTGGAATTTAATAACATTTCTGACTGTGTCGATTATTGTTTTATCAGAGGTGATGTCGTACCACAAACAAGAGTAAGGGAGTTACCATATAGAGTTTGGGTTTGTGTTAACTCGAGTACTTGTCAGATGTTAACTGGCGAGTGTGCATGTATTGCAGGCTATGGCGAGAGTTGCAAACATGTTTTTGCTTTGCTCCACTTTGTCGAAAACAAAGTTGCCCTTGGACTAAATAAGACATCGACATCCAAGAAGCAAGCTTGGCGAGAGACAAAGAAAGGGGAAAAATTACATCCACCAACAAAGATGAGTCAAGCGTCATTCGAGCGACCTCATCCGGAACGTGAGCACACATATGAGAAGCCATGTCGTAACACCTTTGATCCAAGGTCTGTAAAAGAACGCAATGCTGTGATAGACTGGCAAAATCTATCAGTTGCTTCGAAAGGAACATCATCTGTTCTTTGCTTCAAAATCAATATTAAAACCTCTTCTGATCTTCAATCGGAAACACTCAAATCCCAACCCTGGATTCTGGAAACAATAGCATCGAGTTCAAGTAGCCCTGACAATTTCAATGCATTGTTAAAAGAACAGAGGACACAAGAGGGTATTTCCAAAATAGAAACACTAACAACAGGTCAGAGCTCAAACAATCTGTGGTTTGATTATCGCTGTGGTGTGATTACTGCACATGAAGTCCTTTGCAAGTACCGAAAGAAAAACCCCACGGCTTCATCTATAGAGAATCTTGTTGGCAAGATACTGGGCTACGAGAAACCACTTAGGACTGCATCTCTGTCATGGGGAATTGAAAATGAGGCTGTTGCCAAGAAACGTTAAGTTAGGCAAAATAAATCGTCTCATAAACACCTGAAATGTTATGAATCGGGGCTAAAGTTGCATCCTGAGATGGTCATGCTTGGTACCAGTGTGGATGGAATGGTTGAGTGTTCAAGTTGTGGTGACAGATGCCTGGACAACAAGTGTCCATTTTCACACAGGGAGAAGACTGTTGAAAAGTACGTTCAACAGCCTGATTCTTGTCTAGAGAATTCCCTTTCAACAGATACCAAGTACCGATTAAAGCCTGGGCATAAATATTACACACAGGTTCAACATCAATTATTCATTACTGGTTCTTCATCTGCTGATTTTGTGGTGTATTTGCCAAAGGAATCCTGCACTGTAAGTGTAACAAAAGAAACCAGTTATTCTGAAGTTTCCGTACCACTCTTAGTAGATTTCTTCCAACATCACCTGCTGCCTGAATTACTTGGTCGGGACATATTAAAAAAGTATATTTGCAAGGAAATCCTAAGTGAAATTGTAAAATATGCAACAAACATTGTTGATAATAAAAAAGTGCAAAAGAAGTTAGATAGTTTAGCGTCTGGTGTCACTTCCAGCACTGTGCATCTGCAAGCAAAGAAATCAAAGAAGACGTGACAGACTATAAATAACCAAATTTAACACTAATAAGACCAAATTACATAACATATCAGGATACTGATTGTAATTTGGGTTTGACTGTCCTAATGATATTATTGTACTGGCATTGTTATCGGACTTGCAGATCTAGTAATCGTATTGTGGGCATTGCAATAAATGTATGACAATTCAAGATAGGCAATTCAGGGGTGGATTTTATATTGGGGGGTGTACAGTGCTAAGCAACCCTGTTGGCCTTGGTCAACAGGGGTGCAAAAAAATCGAATTCAGAAATATGGCACTTCTCCAAGGTTTTTCCTTTTTTGAAGTCAAACGGAAGCTCATAATTCAATGCCCATATTGCAGGAAATGGCATTTCTAGGGTTCTAATTTTCAAAATTATTCAGGGGACATATCCCTGGACTCCCTAGGGAGCTTGCGCCTTCTGTGCTCAAGTTGTTAGGAAGCTAATTGGGTCATTCCAGAAAACACCCATACCACCCCCACGGAGGAAATAGGAAGTTAACCCCCCTACCCCATCGGATGTCCTAATACATTTACTATTATCAGAAACAATTTTTTCTCCCCTCCCCCTCCGGACGACAGAAATTTCCTCCGTGTGGGGGAGTATGGATATTTTCTGGAACGACCCATTCAATTGAATGATCTCCTACCACCCCCTAAAGAATTATAAAGAAACACTCGGCTGCTCACCCAACACCCCAGGCAATTTGCTAGACAACTCTTGTTATCTACTGTACATGTACACAATGCACTCCTATTTTTTAGATTATTGGTATTCTAATGCCAACCAACCAGAGACAGATTTTCGTTCGGGGGGGTGGATAAATATCTGGGGGGGGGTGCTGCTGCTTTCTTTGGCCGGGGCGTGGTGGCAATGCCTGGAAAGGCCAAGGAAAAAGTTTAACAATTTTTTTTTCTAAGCCTGCATGGTGAGATCTGAGACCATAATATTGGTAATTTTACAAATTTAGTAGTAAGAATAATCAAATATGAAACTATCAAATCAAAATATATATAATTTGTGGGGGTGCAAAAACTTTTGCGGGTGGTGCCAAATGCCTCTGGGGGATGGTGCAAATAATTTCTGGGGAGTGCGCACCCCCAAGAAAATCCGTGCCTGCAACCAACTGCAAGCCAATTTGTAAGCTAAGTAATGTGATTTAATTCAGGGACCAATTGGGGGCTTTGTTTATAAACCGACTTGTGAAATATGCATTTCTAAACATTTAAACTTTGCATGTTAGCAATTTAGTTGCCAACTTTAAATGTTTTGTAAAATCAATTGTAATGCTTTAGCAGACAGCAACTGATTTTTACGTACAAAATGGCAATAAAATTCAACGTATATAGTATAAGAATTGATTAATGATAATCATCATTATTGTAATTTCATTTTATTAATGGTGGCTGCATATTTACAATAGCACCAGCTATTATCCATATCTGATCACACAAATCTAAAGCCCTGATTCCACGAGCGCTTTTTCTCGGCGAAATGCGAATTATTTCGCCTGTTTCTTTTGAATTGCGACCACTCGAATAAATTATTTCTACTTGATTGCTCACAATTCAAAAGAAACAGGCGAAATAATTCGCATTTCGCTGACAAAAAGCGCTGGTGGAATCAGGGCTTATCGTTGTTAATGGTAAAATGTTTTTGAGAAGTCTAAATTCTTTTAAACGGACCATTACTCGTTCTACGTGAATTGTCGCTCTTGCAATTCTTTTCCCTAGGTAAACTTCAGAACGGGTGAACTGTCTTTTACTTCGGACAAAAGATGGTAGCACACATTTGACTTGCTGGTGTAGAAAAAGATCCTGAAATTTGAACCCTTTATCAAACATTGCCATGAACCCAGGAGTAAACTTTGCTGCAACATTGGTGTCCTCTGTGATAAATCTATCACTGCAGGAGCCAGCATATGTTGGTGATATGTAGGATATTCACCCAGACTTGGTGCAAAATATTAATTTCTTTAAAGTGTTGTGGCTTTTGTAAGTGCTATATGTTTGGTACTGGGCATCTGTATTCTTTGAGTGTTCAATGTACTGTTCTGTACAATCACCAATACCTTCACATTTGTGAAAGTTTCCAGCAAAATGGGAATGTGTGTATGAGAGGATCTCCTTAACAGTTGGCCAATATATCAATGGCTCCAATTCTAAGCTTAGAAAAAGGATAAAGGTTGTAATTATATTCGAAGCATGAGCTGATGACATCCCAAATCTAGATCTGAAAGCCAAGCTTAGTCTTCAACTGGTGCATCGAGGCGAATCCGCATCAGTGTCATTAAAATTTCATCTTCTAAAGACAACACACGAGGTTTCCCAGGTTTTCGTTGACAGAATTGAGTGACAGGACTTATTTGGCAGCCTCGTACCCAGGCGCTATGTGTTGTTCAGGGCTTGCGCGGCCTTTGCGTGCGCCGCGTGGATCAATTTGATCGATTTCATGGTGAGGCGCCTGGCAGAATCCGTTTCGATTTCTGGAGCGGATTGCGATTTCTGGAGCGGACTCAATAAACTGGATTTTTAGAGGTTTGAAATACTACTTTTCATTGAAAACTGTATGACATTGATGAATCTTTCAAAAGAATAACTGTTGAATGTAAATTTGTGCGAATTTCGTGCTTATTTAAACTACACAAAGTCGGGTATATTAAAATACTATATAATTTATAATATATTATCAAACAGCCTTTAGGCTAGTGTAAATTCGTTTTCCAGTGAATCTACGTAGCCTTCGTTGTTTCAGTCGCTTTATGGATTGAATATGTCACAGAAATTTCATTGCAATATGATGAAAGGCATGAGAATACCCAGTGGCGGCGCCAGGGGGGGGGGGGCAAGTGGGGGGCAAATGCCCCCCCAAAATTATTTTTTGCCCCCCCTCAAAAAAATTATTAGTCACTAAGAGCGACTAAAGGCTACACAAGCGTTCTGTCGTTATCGGAAAATGTATGGCTTATAAGTTGTCATTACTCATTAGTGAATGCGCGTATACATGAAACTGTTTTTTACAGTTTCAATATTAGTTTGTAAATCGCTGAATGGTAAAACTTGCCAATACTCCAATAATACGTTTCAAAAAAAGACAAAAAAGCTTTAGTTTTGCAGAGTTAAATTCTCAAACGTGTAAGGCAATAATAAGATGAAAGTATCACGAAATTATTTGAATAAACCACATCGCATATATGGGGGGCGAATGTACTAAAGAGGGGCGATATTCCTAGGGTATTCGCCCCACCCCCTGGGAGGCGATATTCGTAGGATATTCGCCCCCCGGGGGCAATATTCCTAGGAATATCGCCACGTTTTGAGGGGGGGGGGGGCGAATTTCCTGGGGGGCGACCTTTTTAAAAATTCTATTTTGCCCCCCCAAATTTCAGTTTGCCCCTCAAATGCCCCCCCAAATTTGGAAGCCTGGCGCCGCCACTGCCGCTTACCGGGACGTCTCGCTTACCGATGATCTCGCCGCCTATCTATTTTCCTATAAAATTTTGCATTGTGTTCATATGAGAAAGCGAGCTGGCCCGCTTGCCGAGATCTCGTTTGAATTTGCCGAGATCATAGGTAGGCGGGATGAAAATTTTCCATATGAACACGCCAGCCCGCTTACCGGGATGAAGTGAAACAAGTCTTGCCGGTTTAATTTAACACTTTTTACTTGGTTTTATGTTTGTTTTGTAAACAAGTATTAATTAAATAACCACCTGAAGCAATACTTTTTCTTGTAAATAAACGAAGAAAAACACTAAAATCGCCAAGCATTTGTGTTGCTTGACTGAAATGTAGAAGTTTTGCATACGCTAATTATAGAACTACAATGTAATTTCATCTCGGCAAGCGGGACGAAATACTCCATATGAACGCACGGAAATATTCGTCTCGGTAAGCGAGACGTCCCGGTAAGTGGGATCATATGAACAGGCCCTTAGACAGTTCAAGATTATATGCACTGTTTCTCCAATGGTTTCGTTTTAATGTGGTTATTCCTCATGTGGTTATTCCTCATGTCCACAATAGGGTTAAGATAAGTTTGTGATTAGGCTCAAGGCAAATAGAAAGATATTGGCGTGCACGAATTCTATGTGCGCTTATCATGCTAAAACAGGCAACATGGAAACGAGGCCATTATGAAAACAGTAAAGTTATTGAGCACAAGAACCTGGTGTAGATATACGCAAGTCATATAATTTAACACTATCACAAAATGCAAAAATATGCTCTGTATAAACTGTTTAGTATTGAATGAGGATATGTTTTATCAAATTAGGATTAAATATATTAGTCTAATTAATTACTGTCAACTGCTTATTAATTGAGGAGACATGAATGTAACTGACACTAAACCATTACCGATAGGAATAAGGTACCCATTATATTAAAACCACTTCAGCGTGACATAAAAATAGCGATTCTTTTATGCGGTTTTTTACTGTTTCTGAACTTGACTACTTGTATTGGCCTTCCGTATCGCATGATGTCACCTACCAATATATAGAATTCTGTCATTAGCAAAATTGGCATAAACTGCTTAGCTGTTCATATTCCGTTTGAATTACTTAGAAATATCTACACAGGAACTTTCAGTATTCAATTGAAAATAATTTCCTAGTAATAAAGTTGTTTGCACTGCCCAATGTTATTCACATTTGAAGTGTTTGTTAATGCGAACTTGTGGTCACTTATCTTCCAAGAACTAGATTTATTTTGCCTCCAGCTAAAATAGATTGCTCCCCTAAAAGTTTTAAAGTGATGTACTTCTCACAGTTCTATTTATTTGCCTCCAAATAAAAGACTACATATAATGAAGAGAATTAAAGGTTTACCACAATATATAATCTAAATCTATAGCATGTACAAGAATAAGTTAATTTACATGAAGTATAGAAAATGTTCCAAAATGGCGGATTTTTTTTAGTTTCAAAAATGAACAAAACAAATTAATTTAATATTTTTTCAACATTTACTTTAGTGTTCTAGGTTTAATTGCTTCGAATCAATCAATTTTACATGATACTTGTGAGCGAGGAATTTATAGTCCATTATAAATGGCAAATATACCGAAATAAAGCTGAAATTTATGTAATATTAATAAATATGGACACCTCGAAGTTAAAGTTGTATGTAGAAATGGTTTTGAAACTTCAGAAGAAATATGGTTGGATGATGGATAGCTATGTTCTTGTAAGTAGTACATGATTTGAATATTGTCTCGTGGATATTTCATTTTAATTTAGTGGCATCTAGTACCATCATGATCATCTGGCATCATGTGATCATGACTAACTTATGATTCTTTGCAGGATTTTTTCACAGATAATTTGTGGGACAAACTTCCTGGAAAATGGTCAAATGTCCTTGCAGAATTACAGCCTGAGGAAATTGCTTACTTTTTCTTAGAAATGTATTCTCCCTTGAAACAAAGACAGCAATCACAAAAGCCCAAATTCAGGTATGTGTGCGGTAGGAACTAGGACAGCTGATGATACCTATTAAACCAACTTCAAAAATGTTTACGCTTATCGAAGCAAGTAGATTAAACTACATCTCTTATTTATTTGCCTCCAAATACAAGACTACTACATATAATGAAGGCCCAGCTATATGCAATATGAAAACTCACTGCTTAATTAATACACCCTTTCGATAATATGTCACACATACTTTTTGGTCCTGGAGCCTCGCTCTCATCAATAAATTATGCAAGGTGATTGGCTCATGATTCATGAGAGCAAGGCTCCCAGGCCAAATGACATAATTATCGAAAGGGTGTATTGTACCAACACTGTATTCAGTGGTTCAGGTCACCTCAGGAAGGAAAGGGTTGGGGTACAATGAATGGCATGCAATCATTTCTTCACTATGAATGCACTTGGTGGTTCCTCATCGTGAGGCCTGCCAACTAATTTTTGCAAGGCTGCAACTAATACACTCCTTCTGGAAAGTATGTCTCTTTGGCCATTCCCGATGGCCTGTGGTTCTTTCTAAACTCATTGAAGGACACACCTCTTTTGTACTTTCAGAAAAGTCTGGCCTCTGGAACTTCTGGCATTTATTGCTTCATGTCACAGTCTGAAGCTAAACAATCTAGCATGGACAGGCAAATTCAATGAGACACAGAATACCATGCATAAACACACTGTACAGGAAAATACGCAAACTAATCGTACAAAAACAAATGACTGTAAAACAAATATTAGTAACAATGCTAGAAATATTCAAGAGGATTTAAAACCGGCTGACACACAAGTGCTGCATACTGATAAAGAACAGACTTTACATCGTCAGAGTTTGAGTCGTCTGTTTCAACATCATATAAAACCAAAGAAACAATATGAAATTGATGTTTTGTCAAAGGTAAGTAAAACTTCTTGTTTTATAGCCTGCAATTCCAGTGCAGTGCTCTAACCGCAAGTTCATATATGTGGATGTCTATTAGGTAATCTGTGAACAAGCAGAGAAACTACAGTGTTGGAATATTGTGGTAAGATTTGAGATTATGTGTAAATTTAAAAGTTAATATGTGTTGGGCTATCACCTACAATCGCTTCACATCTTAAATATTTCCTAACTTGTCATTGCCTCCATGTTCCAGGATGTTGGAGCGGGTTTGGGTCACTTGTCTCGCTTACTCAGCTATGGTTATCAATTACGAGTGGTCACCATAGAAGGTGACGGTTGCCATCAGAGCGGTGCTGAAAAAATTGACCGAAAAGTTCTTGCACATTTAAAAAAGGTAGCTCTTTGTAAATAATAGAGTTAACCCATTGAGTGGCAGCACTCTCCCCGTACAGCCACAAAACATGGCTATAAGGCATGTCGAAAACTGGCGTACTTTATAGCCATGGTTTGTGGTCAACTCGGCTGTGTGTGGCCATGCTGTTTGCAGCCATCCTTGCAAAAACCACTGTGCCATGAACTCGATCCTCACTCTAACTAAAATTCTATTTGAAATTTAGGAGGCTGGAACTGCTGGCAGATCACTTGTCCATGTTACACATCATGTAAGATAATTATTATTACAATTTTTCATTAACCGGAACTGAAAAACTTTTATTATACGAAACATCATGTCTTTCTAGATAAATTCAGATATTTCAGCTGCGGAGTTCTCCAGTGTAGTCTTGGAAGCCTTTTCCAAGATGGAAGACGAAACTCCTCCCCAAAACACCAGAAACTTACAAGCGTGGCCGAAATCTTCTGAAAATTTTATAATTGTTGGTCTTCACACTTGTGGCGACTTGGCTCCAACGTTGCTTCGTGTTTTTAGCCAATGTGATAATGCCGTTGGGATAGTTTCTGTTGGTTGTTGCTACATGAAGTTACATCATGAAATAGCCAAGACAGACCAAGGCACTACGACACAGAAAAGGAAGAAACTCGATACAATTCCAACCAACTCCAAAAAAATTTGTGGCAATTTTCAGCAAAATAATGTGGAATCAACAGACCCTACTAGTAGACCTAATCCGACAACAGGCATTTGTGACCAGCACCAAAGTTGCACTAAATTGACAAACTCTATTAGACAGAATGATCTGGAATTGACAGCCCATACTAGCAGACAAAATTCAGTAGAAATGTGTGGTAATTCTCAACAGAATAGCATTGAATCAACAAACATTGATAGGAGGAATGATTTGGGATTTGCAGACCCTTCTTGTAGACATTCTTGCACAGAAATTTGCAGTAATTTTGGGCAAGAGAAGGTTAAGAATGATAGCCTTAATTGCAGACAAACATTGACAACTCAATGTGATGAATTGAAAGTTGTGGAAGATTCTATATCGACTGTTGAGGCTG